CACACACACACACACACACACACACACACACACACACACACACACACTTCTTTCTCTGAGGTTCTGTTTGTGGCCCTGAAGCACCATGAGCTTTCAAGTTACTCCCTTACCATCAGCCTGACCTCCACTACAGCACACAATCTTCTGCTGGGATGAATTCACAGCTTTGTTGAGTTTATTCACAACTACAGAAATTCAGCTACACACTAAACCTAACAGAGCCATACCCATTAGCAAGGACTGGGAATAAATTAAATTAAATTAAATATCTATATATGAGACCTCTTACTGTGACTTTTATAAACATCTTAACAATGTTGCTGTTTAATTTTCCATAAAATTTTTTTTTGTCTTTAATTTTTGGCATTTCAAATGATACAAATTTAAGTTTGGGAACTGCTTATTACTTTGAGTATATATGTAGAAAAGTAATTATAAATGTCACTCTCAGAGATACTGCGTCAAAACACACACAGCGCTTCAATATCTATGGAAGGAGCCTGATGTCAGAGTTCTGGCCAGAAGCCTGCTATTCTGTCAAAACAATCTTGCATTTTCCTGTGAATGAGTTAGTACTTCCTGTGCAGTATCTACCATGAAAGTGTACAAAGACAGACTCTTCAGAACTGAGCTAATGTACAAGATCAGAGGAAGGTCCTATGTCTGCAGGAGTTGCACAGACCACATCTTTTCTCCCTTTGAGGCACGGTCTCAGTTAGCTCCATCAGGCCTCAAATTTGCTGTGCAGCTGAGGATGAAGCCCTGATCCTCCTGTCTCCACCTCCCAAAGGTTGGCATTATAGGTGTGCACATTAATATTTCAATAGCAAGTTTTCTGATATAATTCATGCATCATGCAGTTTATGGATTTCAAGTGTGGTATCCACTTGTATCGGTATGTTCAGGTGTACACCACTACCACATCCATGCTGGCACAGCCTCATCTACCCAAAACAAACAAACAAACAAACAAACAACATTACTTGTTGCTAGGAGCCACTTCCCAGTGGCTTCCCACTTCTCAGGCCTTCAGCCGTAAGCGACCAGTTATGATCAACACTTCACATGAAGGTTTTGCAAGATGCACACCAAAGGTCATCACAATAACAGGCGAACTGTCTCCAAATAGAATCCTAGAGGTACTTGGGTGGTGTGCCACGTTCTCCAAGAGGCTGTGTTTTCAGTGAGGCCAGGGACGACTGAACTATCTCTTTACCTTTAAACTATCATATGCATGCTAATATATGTGTGTGTGTGTAGCATTTACAATGTACTTTTGCTTCCAAATTAAAATTAGGCAATTATTCTACGATTTTATAGGATTCTAGCAAAATTCCAAAATGCTTCACAGCAGAGGATTACCTATGTTCCAAGCCAGAAGCAGGTCCTGGAGGGACTCATGGAGCTGACAGTTCATTTGAAGAAAGATATGGAGAGCAAAGAACGCTGTGCTGCCTTACCTATGTTCATGACCTGAGACTGGAGCATCTGTCTTTGGCCAGGCTGGTTGTTGGCTCGCATGGGGATGTTGGCTGTTGGATTCCGAATCATGCCTCCTTGTATTGGCCGGTTCATGGCACCAGTGGTCGCAGCGCAAGTAACTCTCACAGCCGAACTCTGTGGTGCCCATTCCCCAGAAGGCATGGTGGGCCGGGAAGTGCTACTGCCAATCATTCCTGCATGCAAAGCAGAGGAAGCTGAGAGACACAGACACTGACAACAGCGCATGAATGAACGCCAGACCTACCTACCTACCTACCTACCAAGACTCAGGCCATGACTATAAACTGCAGTCGCCCAACAGCAAACACCCTCCCCGGGGCAGGTGTGGGACCTTGGCGAAGAAATAAGAATTGGCAATTACTACAGCTTTCACAAAGTGAATCTGCTACTCTGTACGGTTCAGAAGAGCTGTTCAAAGTGCTCCCATTTGTACTTAGAACAGGTGCTGCCGCAAGTGGATAACCCCAACTTCCTTCCTCAGGAAGTGAATCACATTAGCTGACACACACGTCAGAGCCCTACTTTCCAAAAGAGAGGTGAGGAGGAACAAGCTGCGAACTGATAATCAATTCCACAACTATAGACCCTAATCAGAGAGCATCCCTCAAAGCCTTCGGGAGAGGTAAACATGCTCACCTTCCTTTCAGTTTATCTAACTTCTGGAGCATGCAGACATGGCCACTGTATGAGCAGTAAGCCACGCTGGCACACACACACACTTCTGCCTGTATGGGATACTTCAGCAACAACTTCTATTAAAAAAAATTGGTAAATTTAAAAATTTACCAAGGATAACCCCTAAGTCCTAGGGAAATTAAAGAGCTTTCTGATACAGTCCTTGTAGCTAAGAGATTCCATACTCGTGGACCATTGCATTCTACTGCACAGATGCAGGATGGTTAGGGTCGGTGTGAGAAAATTCTTTTACACTTGGCATATGATCACATGGAACAATTCAGGGGCTGTTCTGTAAGTGTCTAGGATGTTGGTAGTGGCCAAACAAACACTGCCCAAGACTTGTTGAAGGGGAAGCCTCAGAAATAACATTTCTGTTTTGAAATGCGTGATACAGGGAATATAAAGATTTGCTGTCAAATATATGGCTTGCTTTCATTTACTTTATTTGGGTTAAGTAACTACAAATTTGGTATAATTAGCATGTGGACATAACATGGGTGTTTCCTCACTTGTGAGATGAGGGACGTGCTAATGATGTTAAAGGACAAAGGGTAATTAGAAGAGTTTAAGAAATTGCCACAATATTAACACATATTTAAAGCCATTTTATATTGTATTTGAGCTATACAAAGATATTATGAAAGAAAAGGCATTTTCTTTTTCAAAATCATCTACTACTGACATAGCATAACAAGATTATAGACAGTAGGAGGGTGAAATTATCTGTAACTCAGCAATATCAGTGTAAGGAAATAAATGATGTTCCTTTTGTTTGTTTTCAGGAGCAGAGGAAGCCCACCCTGTGATCGTTACAGCCTGGGTCCCGGTAGGCCCAGGGACAGCCAGTTTGGGGGAGCCTGTTCCCATGGCCCTACATAGAACTTCTCCAACAGTGCAGGCCTCCCTGCAGTCATGATAGGGAGCTGGTCCTCATGAGCCGCAGCTGCTGTTTATACCAACGATATTCACACAAACCAGTATATCATTTAAGAACGACAAAGTGAATATGACACTGGTTTTATGAATCTATAATTCAATGAGGTAGTCAGCACATGGCACATAAGTAAACAGTATTTGATGAAGTAAATGGATACAGTACAGCTCATGCTTCCCATTAATTCTATCTCAGTAACAGGAAATCAAACATTCCCCTTAAATAGAACTACTCTGATCTTCACTTAACTAAAACGGCAATGTACAGGGGTTACAGACTGAGCTAAAAATAAAACAGCAAGAATTGAAACTCCCACAACTCTAAGTTCTTTTTATAATATCTACTTATTTCTATGCCCAAGCCTCTACTATGTCACTGAGACAAGGGAAGAAAGCTATAAATTATAAGCAGCTCTTCTTTAGAAAAGCCGGCATCCTCCCAGATCCATAACAGATGTTGTGCCAAGGCTTGGGCACTATGAGTTCAGTCCGAAGTCTATGGCCACTGCGGCAGAAGCATGCATCACTTGGGAAATGTCCCTGGGTAATATGGAGGACTTTAGCAGGTCAAAGTGCCAGCTCGATCACAGGTAACCCCTTAAATGTCAAGAAAGGTGCCTTGAATTAGGGCAAACCACTAAAGTCACTATTGTTATGACACTTTTGAAATGGTGTGCTCTCAAACCAGTGTGCTCATTTAATTTTGCCCTGACCCAAAGCTATTAAAATGCATTCAACTTTAAAAAGACCAGAAGGCAAAAGCCAATAAAACAAAACACAACAGAATCTATGGCTCAAGTAGCTCAAGTAGACCTCCAGATGCAGCCCCCTGAGTAGCTCAGACTACAACAGAAATGCTGAAAGATAGGCAAAGAGGTCTTCAACACAATTTTGGAGGCATCAGCAGGTCACCACTGGACGCTAACAGGCACCAGTTATTTTACACACTCTTCCATTCATTTTGCATTCAGTTCCCATGAGGGAAGTGAATTAGGTCTAGACAAGAAGACCGGTGTTTAGAAACCTCCTCAACGCAGCAGTTAAAGAACAACCTGGTTAGCTTGCTGGAACGGCTTCTCACAGGCCACTCTCACAGGGAAGCCGGAGGGTTTCCGCATTGCACCTGGGAGCCTCAACAAGCCTCTGGTGAAGTTCCACCATTCTGATGTGGATAAATACATTGTAAAATTACACAACCCACCAGGAAGTAGCAGTGCCGTTGAGCCCTTACCTGTGCTATTGTTCCCTAAGTTTCCTTGGCTTCCTAGCATCCCTTGGTTACCCATCATTCCTGGCTGAGGTATCACTGAGTAGGGACTATTGTTTCTGATTGGTGGGAAAGGTCCAGCACCAGTTGGGCTTTGCAATGTGATGTCAAGTGGTAAATTCTGGTTTGGCAATAACCTGCCCAGTTGCCCTGGTCGTGGGTTATTAAAAGCTAAGGAGAAAACAAATGAAAATTGAAGGTTAATAAAGGACAATGGAAAAGAATATTAACAGTAGTAGTGTTTAGGGGGAATGTCGCCTGTAAAATGACGGAGATGCACACCAGGGGCCAACTAGTGACACAGAAGACAGCTCACACACAGAAACATATGCAGCACTCTATGCGGTATCTAAGTCTTAACGGCCTTGCAAGAAAGGACTATGTTTTTCTCTCCAGTAGTTTTAATACTGAAAAGTTTTTAATAAACAAACTATAAGTATGATATCATTCATGTGCTATTATTCAAACTTTGGTGTGTGGTCTTTTTCTTGTTCTCATTATTTTTTTCCTAGGCAAGGTCTCCCTCAAATTTGCGATGCTCTTGCCTGGTTCAAGAGTACTGATTTTTACAGCAATTAATTATAAACATCTCTTGTGTGCAGCAGCAAACCTACACACCTGTGGCTTGGCTGTCAGGATATCATGTCTTAATTGGGCTTTCAGGGCTTAGCATGAAGTTACAGGTGGATACTTTTATTAGAAGTCGAAATCTTTGAGTATACACTGTGTTATCTGAATCAATACTCTACTACAGGTTATGACTACTAGTATGGCTTCTTTAAACTCCGGGCATATATTTAGTTTTGAAATGATTTTTATGGCTAGTTCACAAGAATGGACTGTGTACTGAGCAATAATCTAGTGTCAATTAGATGACCTGCAATTTTATAACAATTACTAAAAAATTTAAATATTATACACACAATTTACAGAGCTCCTTTATTAGGTAATATCAAATATTTCACTTTCTTTTAATTTTATAAACATAGACTGCAACAGCACAGCTAAGAGAAGGAGGACTTAACACGCTATGGTAGAAATAAAACATTCAGAAAAGCCAAGGCTGGGAATGGACATTATTTATCACACTCAGTCCTGCCTTACTGGGAGTCAGTTACCTGGCCTCTGTTTACTAACCCAAGTCCCATTGGGAGTTCCAGAGAGTAGGAGCTATGAGCCCCTACCATGCTCTTTGCTAGTTCTATGGGTTAATGTGTAGTATCTCATGTTTTCTTTTCTTTCTTTCTTTCTTTCTTTCTTTCTTTCTTTCTTTCTTTCTTTCTTTCTTTCTTTCTTTCTTTCTTTCTTTCTTTTTTTTTTTTACCATATTCTCTCAAATTTTGAGCTTTGTGATTGTCCTAGTCAAACAAAAACTCATCTTTCTTTTTTTTTCTCCCTTTTCAGAATGGTCAGGAACCACCCAAGAAAGGATTTAGTTTCTAAAGTACTCATCTCTGATTTGGCTGTGGCTGGCCTTGCTGGTAACAGTGCTAGGCACTGGCTGAGACTCCCTGAGGTGGAAACCGTCGTGTCCCCAGCACCTGGAGAGGCTGACTTTCTGTAAAGCATGGCTGCGCTCTGCAGAAGCTGCCTTCACTCAGAACTGGACCCTCCTCAGTCACAGGCATGTTTGTTTGTAATCTACTCAATCAGAGTGAAGAACATTTTTTCCCTTAGCTCAAACAAATTTAAAGTAAAACTGCTAGATGACAGAGCAAGGAAAAGAATCAGTTTCTTTTCTTTGAGATAGGGTCTTATTATGTAGCTCAGGTTGGCCCTGAACTCACCACCCTCCTGCCTTAGCCTCATGTCTGGGCTTACAGGCATGAAGTACATGCCTGGCTTGGATTTTCCTCCCCAAAGGGAGCTATGACAGTCAGCAGTCTGAGCACTTCCTGACGGACCAGACAATAGATGGTGCTGTTTGTCACAAACAAAACAAAACAAAACCCCCAAAACCCTCCAAGGAACCAAACTGTTTGAGGCAGACTTTAATGATCTCTTTCTGATGGAGGCTAACCGGGAAATCTCTGAGCAACAGTGCATACTCACTGCTCTGTGACATTCGCAGCGCTGTTTTCTGGGCTCCAACAGGTGTGATGGGACCGCTGTCAGCGGTGAGTTGCATGAGGTCATTGATGATGGCTTGCTTGTCCACTGACCCAGCAGGGGCCCCTGGCCTTGTGTCTGGGAAAAGCTGTGGTAACTGACTATTCTGCAGATCATCCAAAATCTCTTCCAAGTTGTCCAGCTCGCTGCCAGGCTGCAGTCAACAGACAGAAGTGTACATCTAGGCTCATGCGAAAAGTGGGCGCCCCAACCCCGTCCAGCTGTTGGCCACTACAGACCTAACCATCACAAGGCATCCCAGCCAAGAGAGAAGAGCAGGTATGTGCAAATGTCAGGACTAAGCATGTGTTGACCACCTTTCATAACTTTTCATAACTGGATCTACCAAAGGCTGCAATCTAATCTCTGGACCCTGACTCCCTCACCTAGAAACCTGGTGTGGCTGAATTAGAAAGAAAGATGTTTCCTGCCTTGTGACTCACCGGCACCTTCTGTATGTGAACCACCCTGTTAATGATGAATATACATATCCAATTTTTATAATTAGACTATGATTTACCGTTTGGATCTAGATTTGGTGCTTAAGTTTTCCTAAGAAACAACAACAAAGCTGGTGTAAAATATGGAACAAATAAAAATGGCTACTTCCCTTGTGTGTGTGTAAGAGAGACAGACAGCGATTGATCTTGCTGGTCCTGGGATATCTCTTGACTAGACACATGTTAAGTAAGTTACTAGTTGATGTGACTTTGAATTTGGTTCTTTTCAGAGGCAGCTGCTTAATTAAGCAATGAACTTAGCAACTCATTTTTCAGGGACTTCCTCGAGTACTCTAAGAACAAGACCATTTTTGTGTCACCCATTTCCAACAGAAAGATAAGCTCTTTCTATGGGACAGACAGGTCATGTGACCCTTAAAGCTCCTGAGGCAGGGACAACACTGCACGGCCCAGAGCAGCATAGTTTTCCATCAGAGCCCGGATCCCTTTGTTGCTTTGACTGACAGGTCCTTCAATGGTAATGCTTGTAGTGTGGGGGTGGCACTCAGCCAAAAGATGGATTCCTTTCATTATTAAAATTAAAACAGAAGTTCCTACAGCTTCCACTGACTCCTCAGAGAAGGGTTTCACATGCTGAGAAACTGTGATAACTGTCTGTAGAGTCTGTCTTCACAGATGACAACAGGCCTCCGACAAGCCATCTCTGTCTTTGAAGCAGTGTCCTGTGACAACAACGCCTTCTCCTGAGGACTTTTAAAGATCAGTGTGCAGGTGGGGGGAGAAAGTGGAAACGAATGATAAACTGCCTCTGGAAAAGCTCGGCACGGTGCCCATTAGGAGGATTATCCAAAATAGCCTCATGCAAACAAAACCAGAAGTGTGTGTGTTCATCATCTTGGTGGATGCACTTGAACTTGCCTGCAACTAGAGCCATGACAGAGTGTTTCCCCGTCATAAGCTGCACAAACAAAATTAAGAACCACCTTAAACAGAATAAAAACCTTTTCTTTTTGAGACAGAGGTCAGTAAGTCCAGGCTGGCCTTGAACTTGACCTGTTGTACTCAGCCTCCTGGGAACTGGGATTATAGGCACAGAATTCTAGTGACAAGAACCACGGCTCCTAGCTCTTTCTCGCTCTCTCCTTCCTTCCTAGAGTCTCTCTCTGGCAGTGGTCCCACCCTTCCTAATGCTATGACTCTATACAGTTCCCTGTGTTGCGGTGGCCCCAACCATGAAATTCTTCTGTTGCTATGTCCTAACTATAATTTCGTTACTGTTATGAATTATGATGAATGTATTTGTGTTTTCAATGGTCTTGGGTGACCCTCCGAAGGGGTCTTGACCCACAGGTTGGGAACTGGTGCTCGATGTAGTCCTGGCTGTCCTGGAACTCTGCATAGACCACGCTACCTGCTTCCTCCTGGGTGCTGGGCTTAAGGGCGTGCACCACCATAGCTGGCCCTTCTTTCGTAATCTATGCTTTATACAGACATGTTAAGATACACATGTTAAGATAAGTAACTAAAATCAAGTTATTTAGAAAAAAATGAGACAGGCTTTCATGCAGCTGGACTTCAACTTCCTATCAGCAGAGACTGGCCTTTAATTCTTGATCTTCCCATCTCTATCCTCAAGTGCTGGAATCACAGGAATGAGGAAAACATCTAAGCTCAAATAATTTCTAAGTAAAAAATTTCATAGTCACCATACATATCTGATCAATGTAAAGGTTTTTTTTAAATTTATGTATGTATTCACGCAATGCTGGGGACCAAACCAGCTTTGTGCGGTATGTGCTGAGCTATCCCCAAGTGTTATTTTTAACTTTTGATTTGTCTGGTTTAGGAGTTCACCAAACATCTGTGTGAACGCAACAGTAATTCAGTGGTAAAGCCTGTACAAGAGGCCATGGGGTCAGTTTCCATTATAGGAACGGAAAGGAGAAAGGAAGGGAAGGAGGAGAAAGTAGCGTAGTTCTGACAGAGAGAGAAGCAGCACGTTTGGGCGCCCTGGACACTGTCTGAATTCACTCTGGGTAACACACCAAGATGCACCAAGAATGTTTAGAGTTTATTCCTTGACAATTTTTGTCAGTTTAAATTTCTTTTTTCCTGAGATGAAGTTGATCTTGAATTTACAACTCTCCTGTCTCAGTCCTGGAGTGTTGGGATTACAAAAACACACCACCATGTCAGGCTTTTTTTTTTTTTTTTTTTAGTAAAATGATTCAGTTAGTATGTCCTAGCATACAGACAATGTAGTCTTTTTATTTCAATTATTTGGATGAAAGAGAAAAATGGAATTATATATAGTATATGTCTTCCGAAGTCATGTTTGTTGGCTTTTTCTTTTTTTTTTTTAATTTATTACAATTTACTCACTTTGTATCCCAGCTGTAGTCCCCTCCTTTCTCCCCTCCCAATTCTACCCTCCCTCCCTCTTCTTCTCCTACACCCCTTCTCCAGTCCACTGATAGAGGAGGTCTTCCTCCCCTTCCATCTGACCCTAAGTCTCATCAGGACTGGCTGCACTGTCTTCCTCTGTGGTCTGGTAAGGCTGACACCCCACCCCTACTTCCTCAGGGGGAGGTGATCAAAGAGCCAGCACTGAGGTCATGTCAGAGACAGTCCCTGTTCCCATTACTAGGGTACCCACTTGTAGATGAAGCTACCATGAGCTACATCTATTCAGGCGTTCTAGGTTATCTCCCATACACTGTCCTTGGGTGAAGTATCAGTCTCTGAAAAGACCCCTGTGCCCAGATCTCTTGGTTCTGTTGGTCTCCTTGAGGAGCTCTGTCCCCTCCAGGTCTTTTTATCACCACCTTCTTTCGTAAGATTCCCTGCACTCTCTGCCCAAAGTTTGGCCATGAGTCTCAGCATCTGCTTCGATACCCTGCTGGGTAGTCTTTCAGAAGCCCTCTGTGGTAGGCTCCTGTCCTGTTCTCTGTTTTCTCCCTCTTCCAATGAATGTCTATCCTGTTTGCCTTTCTGAATGAGGATTGAGCATTTTACTCAGAGTCCTCCTTCTTGCTTAGCTTCTTTAGGTGTACAGATTTTAGTATGTTTATCCTATATTAAATAGCTAATATCCACTTATAAGTGAGTCTATGACATGTCTTTCTGCTTCTGGGTTACCTCACTCACAATGACCATTTCTAGTTCTCATCATTTGCCTGCAAATTTCATGATTTCCTTGTTTTTAATTGCTGAGTAGTATTCCATTGTGTAAATATACCATAATTTCTGTATCCATTACTTAGTTGAGGGACATTTGGGTTGTTTCCAGATTCTGTCTATTATGAACAAAGCTGCTACAAACATGGTTGAGCAAATGTCCTTTTTGTATACTTGGGCTTTGTATTTCTATCTCTCAGCAGTTCTTTTAGACCCTACCCACTTTGCCGGGCACATTTTCTTTGCAAGACAAAGAGATCAATGATTTCCTTTAAAAGGCCTCACAGATACTTCAAAGTTTCACTTAGGCATCTACTGAATGTTCAAATTAGCCACATCAATTTGGATAGTTTGTTTCAACTATTTCTGGCAAAGAATGAGTCAGAACAAGCTTTTACAAAGTTTTACAAAATAAAAAAATACTTGATTTCTTTAATTTTTCTGTTTTTATGATATTTCATGTGTCAAATCAACTCGTTCTCTGAGGGAAATAAAGCAACCCGTGAGTTTTAATGATAAGCATTCTATTACAAAGTACCATTTGAAAATATTTTAAATAAAAATATAGTATCACACCATTTGCTTAGCACAGGGTTGTGAAGGAATTCTAGTGTATGTGGAGGGAAACTACTCTGGGCCCTACCAGTTTCAAGCGTGGTTTGCCTCCTGTAGGGATTCAAGCAATAGGAGAGCATTTTCAAGCCTTCATTGCAGAGCATCAGAAGAAAAGCTGGAGTCGAGTCTCGCCTGGCTGGGTACCAGCCGGACTCCACCACGTCAATAAGCACATGACTTACAGCAGTAAACACACTGGAAACACTGTCAGTTTCTGTTTCCTGTTGGCTACGAAATGTCGTAGAAGCATCGTGTTTAAATGCTCTACCCAGTAAAAATGTGCTATTTTAGGTATGATAATACGGCACCTTTGAAGCACTTCCTGGCCTTAAAAAAGCTAGTAATACTTAAAACACACACCCAGTTTAAAAAAAAAATTTTTTTTTTTTGAGTCAAAATAACAACACGGTCAATTGTAATCCAGGCTCACTCTCTGTTCTTGTCTACTAAACAATTATTGCATCCCTCTGCAATGAAGAAAAAGCCTAAATAACCCTTGGCAGGTGTGAGGGGATCTTCCTTAGAAAACAAGGCAAGAGAGCAGGAGGTGAAAGAATCATTGTTTTTTTTTTTTTTTTTTTTTCTTTCCTCATGCTAACTTTGATCTAAATTTAGGTAAATCATACTTCCTGTGGTAACTTTTCTCTGTGCTAGGTTTTTGATGGTGAAATGGCTCTGAAGAGCTGTATTTCAGATGGTGTTTGGGAGAGAGTGGAAGGAAAGTGAGCAAGGCGCTAGATTTTATTAAGGAAAATATAGTTCCTGTATGTGTACCTGTGTACCCAGCTTTATTTCCTTCAAACAACGGATTTATACTTATTACACACACTGGTCTTTGTTTCTTGGATAATTCTGATTAGAAAATTATTTCTCCCAAATAAGGAAACACCAAGAGATTCAAATACTTGAAAAACAAAACAAAAAACCAAACCACAAATCTTTTCTTGTTGGCGAAACTATATGCTATATATAAACTATATATAAAGTAATGACAAAATGATTCCTTTCATTGTTCCTCTAAGTCCGAAACAAATTCTGTTTATGGAGAAGGGGCAGCCAGGTTCTGTACTGAGTGTCACTAATCTGCCCTCTAGCGTGTAAAGACACTATCTGTGCCCGCCGTTCTGAACTGCCACTATCTGTGTCATTCAATCTAGTAAATCTCAAAAGATGAAAACACAAGTTGTCAACAAGGTTTTCCACTTCACATCACACAAGACATTGCTACTAACTTTCTGCTGAGGCCTCGCTGCTGCAGCTAACAGTTTCACAGCATTATAAAATAACTGTTGCACAGAACCCAGTGCTGACACCCAGCTTGAGGGTTAATCACCAGTAATGTTAACGTAATTTTAGTCTGCCTCCCGTGTAAGTAGCTCGGATGCCTGCATGATGGTATCTGTTCTTAGGAATGGGAGCAGCCATCCACATCAAAGTGAAAGAAACAGGAGGTCAAGTTCTCAGAAGCTGCTGGCTGCAGGGACTGGCTTGAAGAACACGTGGCCTTTGTAGGCACGACATTCCAGCCTCTGTGGATTCAGGGAACTCACAGGCAGTGTGGGATGAGGGTGCGGCCCTCTTGGAGTTGGTGACACACTACCTTCCTACTTGTAGCACATCTTTCAAGGGCAAACTATTGGACATTTTAAGACAGGGGCCCTGGTGACTTTCTCACGGTTTAACCAATCATGACTCAAAAGAGTCTGCCAGACAGGACATTTTTCAGACTCAGGAAGGCAAGGGTGGGTCACTAACCTTCATCCAGGCAGGGATTCCTCCATAACAGACACTTTTTTAAGTAAGGGAAAGTATCAATGGTTTGCTTCCTCACTGTGGTGCCCATTCTCACCAATGAGTACTATTCAGAATGGTTGAGGGTCCAGGGTTAAAATGTTGGAGAGGGCTCAAAATTTCAGTCTGGATGAAAACATCGCAGAGATCCGTTTGTACAGCGCGGTGGAAACAGTAAGAAGTGTGCATTGCAGACCACTGAGTGCATTTTAAAAAAGTATTTGTGCCTTTGTACCACAAAATGACCAGCACATGAGGTACTAGATTGTGTTCATGAGTCTGAGTGCTATTCTGTGGTAGATCATATTGTGATTGTGAAGATTTTCTTTTTGTTAAAAAAAAAAAAAAAAAAAAAAAGATTCTGAACATTACTTCAGGTCCCCTGGGCTGTTTTCAAGATGTTAACTTTGGAGACAAGAGCAGGACAGAAGGTAAGCCATTACTTTGGTTTTGAATCACTACATAATGGCTTCCATACTTCTATCCATTTCTTATAAACCAGCAGTCAATGAGATTCTGTACATTACTCCCAAGTGTTCGCACAGAGGCAGAAGGATCTTTAGTGCGTGTGAGAAGCAGCTGAACTCTGCTCACAGTGAGGCATCGGTGAAGAGAGATGTTCACCTGCTCTGACAAAGCCCTAACCAAGGGAAGGCTTGCCACCAGTTCAGGGCTCAGCTAACTGCAGCCAGTCTGCAGCTCCTCCTGCCTCCCCTTGTCTATATATAACCTATGACCTAAGGATGAACTTATTTTCATCACAGCAACACTAATGACACCCTCCTCCCAAAAACCAATCACAAGAATACTTTGTGCCCATCACAACCATCTGTTCAGGTTCCGTAGGTAAAACTCTGTCAGCATACAGCCACAATTACTTGCTCAGTATTCACAGCTGCTCTGGCCAACAGTGGCAAGGGGTAAATGTCTGAGAGGCAAGCTACAAACTATGTCATTCTTTGCTAGGGGGAGTGTGTAGAATACAATTTGCTGCAAAGTAACTGTTATAAGAAAAGGTCCACAAACAAAAACACTTTTTTACAGAGTCACAGACTGTTCCCTTGGAGAAAATCTATGATACAGATGAACAAACCTGGGAGAAGACATTAGAAAACTCACCTGGTCACTGGGCTCAAAGCTCACCTCCTCCTTCACAGTTTTCATAGCGATTAGCTTTGTGTTACTGGCAGGCTCTGTCTTACTGTCCAGTCGCTCAAGTTTGGGGGTTATTTCCGGTAAACCAATATCTTTAGTATCATCTTTATCGAGCAAATATCGAAGTAGTGCATTCTCTTTCTTCTTGGGGCTCACGGGCTCCTGTTTGACAGTCACGTCTGACCCAGGAGCTGTGCTGCTGGACTCCTGGCTCAGCTCTTTGCCCGTGGCCTCTGCTGTTAGCTTGGCCAAGTCCACAGGGGAACTGCTGTCCTGTAAGAGTCTGTGCAAAATCTTATGCTTCTCCTTGAGCGAGGTGCCATGTGTGGACCCAGGCCCAGGCAAGCTACCCGCAGAGTCCTTATTTGTGTCCGACAAAGAGCTGGGCAAGGGTGAGGGCTCCATCTGGTCGGACTTGGTGGTCAGCAGCTGTAGGAGCTTGGTCTGCCCTTTGCTGTCATGCAGCCGGCTGTGTCCCTCAGCCCTGTCCCCACTGGCCGCCTGGGGCATGCTGGAGTCGTTGGGCTCCTTTTGTTCTCCAGGATGGCAGCTGGTCTCTGCTTGTCCAGTTGTACCTTCTGGTGGCTCCCCATAAAGTCCAAAACAGTCTTTGGAGTCCAAGCTTCCCATCTTGCTGAGTGGGGGAGGATTCATATTAACTGGGGAGTTTTGCAAATTGCCCATTTTTAGGTCCGGTGAAGCCAACGATGACCCTAATGAGACCCCATGGCCCTCACTGAGGGCTTGCAGTGCATTGAGGGAACTGTTGGTGTAACTATGGCTATTTCCTGTGCTGCTGCAAACTCCCACAGGGGAATGCAAGCTTCCTGCAGGGGAAAACTGACTGGGTGGGATGCGAGGACTGCCAGCCACGCCGGGGCTCATGCGATGCCTTGGTGAGAGCATGGAGGTGGGTTGCCCTGGGTTCATGCCGGGGCTGCTTTGTGAGGGACTGTTCATTTTGAGTGCATAGTTACTACCCTGAGGAGTGGTTGCCTGCATGCCTGATGCATGGTTCATGCCCCCAGAACCACCAAACCTGCCCATCGGCATGCCCATTTGCTCCTTTGGGCCATTCATGGGAAAATTTATATTGCTACTGAGGGTCATGTCCTGACCTGGGTTCCCACTGCACATGGCCTGATGGGCAGGGCTGCTAGAGCTAATTGGATTCAATGGCTTCCCCATCGCTTGTCCAGTCAGATCCGGATTCATTACACATACATTCTGCTCTCTGTATAATGAGGAAAGAAACATGTATCAGATAAAAGGAAAAATACAGAGTAAACTGTTATTAATTTTAAAAAATGGCAGGGTCTCTTTTCTTTACAAAAGCAGACTACATCTAAAGGATAGAAAGACTTGGATGAAAACACCTGCAATTACAGACTAGACTGAACACGTACAGTTCTGGACCAAGAGGGATATTTTTCAGGCAACTCATCAAAACATCTGTGGTTTTACTGAAGTGTGTGTGTGTGGGGGGAGAGGGGGTTAAATTTGACTACTTCCATATTGAAATTTCAGTAAGGAAACAGGATATTAAGAAGATTCCAGTTATACATCTCCTTCATGAGCGCAACTGAGAGTGTGCACAGCCTTAAAGAAATCACCTATGTAAGTATTCCTCGATTCAACCATTTGCCACAAACTTTCAGCTCCCAGCAGTGTGCACATCTGTACGCCTAGAGGTTCTGATCTGTCACTTGCTTCCTGGTAGACAGAGGCCAGGTAGAGAGATGGCCAGTTCCACACCCAGCAGTTATTCTGACTAGTATTAGGCACATCACCTTGCTTGACAGATTCCTGCTCCTCTCCCAATTCAAGGAAGACAGAAAGTAGCTGTGGTGGGGTCCTGGGGTGATGGTGTGTGACTTTATCTTCCGCCCCCATTCCAGGAAACTTCCCATCCACCTTCCTAACTGACACTTACAAGCAGGTCTCCCAGCCCCGCGGGCTTTTGCTTCAGCCTTGGCAGTTGCTTATGAGTTCCCAAACATGTTCAGCAATTGTCGGGTACCAGCTGCAGTTGGGCTGGGCGGGCGGGGAAACCTGCCACCTCACAATCACTTTCAAACTGTTTCAGTTTGAGGTCAGATTTACCAATAGTTGGCAACCAAGCCTGTCTGATAGTTTTTATCCCTGTCCTAGAAAGCAACATAACTGAGAAATGCAATAAAATAGGACTCTTTAAGCAGAGCAACTGCATATATCTCCTGACAACACCTCAGCATATACATAAACATTTATAGAATTTGAAATTCAATCACTCCCCCAAATTAGTATCTTAAACAATATGCTCTATGACATTTATTTTAAAATCAACATTCAATTTGCTTTCTTTTACTACAAAAAATGGTAATTTTTTCCTGTCTTTTTTTTTTTTTTTTTTTTTTTTTTTTTTTTTTTTTAAAGACATGGTTCTCTGTGTAGCCTTGGCTGTCCTGGACTCAGTCTGTAGACCAGGCTGGCCTTGAAATCACAAAGCTCCGCCTGACTCTGCTGGGATTACAGATATGTGCCACCATGCCCTGCTTAGTAATAGTAATTTAAAGTCTAATGTGAGGAAATTAATTTAAACCCAAAGAACAAAAACCAAAACTAGTCTGCAGATATACTTTTGAAAGTTTAAGCACATAGGATTAGAAATCTTAGCAATGGCTTCAATTTTTCTGCTCCTGCCTGCATTGACCTTCTTGAGTGTAACAGGAAGGTGCAGCCAAGCCCTGAGGGTTCTTTTTCTGTTTTTGTTTGTTTCTTCTAGACAGGAGCACTTTATGGAGTCCTGGCTTTCCTGGAGCTTGCCCTGTAGATCAGGCTGGCCTAAAACTCTCAGGGATCCACCTGCCTCAGTCTCCAAGTGTTGGCTCAAAGGTGTCCGGGCCTAATCCCTGTGTTCTTAAGAGCAGCCTGCCTTGGCTCGTACAGTGAGATGGTTTCTAGCCAACACTTGAGAGCAATCTCATTTTACATTTTATAAACCCTTAATCAAAAGGCAGGAGCCTGGGGACCAGAGAGGCTCTTTGATGGCATATTGCTTTTGCAGCACGTCTTTCAACATGGAAGTGAAACTGAGGCTTAGGGTACGATTACCTGTGAAGCATGTGTAAAGATATTACAAGCTGAGGCTCATTAGTAGTCTGAGAACGGATGAGTTTGCTCTTCGTTTGTGCAGCAACAAGAGTGCCATCGGACAAAGAAAAACGGTAGATTTGACTGAATGCCAATCCTTGTCTCAGAACTGCAGGCAAAAAAGAAAATAGAAGGCAGGCATGTTAAGAAAAAAACTAAAAAAGAAAGAAAGAATCAGAAAAGTGGAATAGGGTAGACTGCCAAAGGCATGATCCTAGTGATAAACTTCATTATATTTTCTACCTGCACGTTAAAACATTCTGGGTCATGAAACATCCACTTTAAAAGCACATTTACTTTTTATTCAAAATACCAAACAGTGGCTTGTTTTTTTTCCCTGTATGACAACGAGTAACAGCTTGAAAACTCAGACTGTCTTCTATTTTTTTTAAGATTTGTTATTTTTACTTTTAGATTTATTTTTATTTTATGAATGAGTATTTTGCCCAAATACATGTAAGTGGAATAGGAGCTACGGATTGTTGTGAGCCTTCCGTCATGTAGGTGCTGGGAACCGAACCGCAGTACTCAGGAAGAGCAGCTAGTGCTCTTAACCTCTCTCTGGGCCATCTCTCCAAGCCGCCAAACTGCTCTTTCTTAAATCAAATTATCTTCATTAGGCCAAGAGAGTGTAAGCTATTTATCAGGTCAAAAAAAAAAAAAAAAAAAAAAAAAAAAAAAAAAAAGCCTTTCCATAATTTCTTAGTGATATTAGAAAACACTGCAATTGCAACACAACCCCAAAACATGGTATCTCTGAGTATAATCTGCCTTTGATTTCCTTTACAGTGTAATGATCAGGATGAGACTTAAGACACTGCATTGTCTGGATAATCTTCTCCAGGTGACCTATCCAAACTGCTTTTTCTCAATTTTGTTTCTCACAGTGTAGTAAGTATTATTTCCAGGCTTAGGACAATAAGAAGTAAAAGTGCAAATCATCATCTGGCAGAAGAAAATGCTAAACAAAACTGAAACCCAAGCATAGACCTTAGTGAGTGCAACTGCTTTAACTTTTAGATAAAGGCTAGATGCTTCTATTTTTAAAGACAAGAAATACAAAGCAAATCAACTAGCTTAATTTAATTTCTCTTAAAATAACCTTTAGATTTATGTTCTCACAGACCTGGACTTTACAATGAACATCTTACATAAAAATTTGGTTTCAATTCAGAAAAACAAAACAGTGATAAGGCTTAGCTGTTTCTTAAATAATTTTAAGAAGACGGCCATGTTCTTAAGACATAACTGTTGTATTGTTGTGGTTGAACTACTAGCCCCAAGGTGACCAAGGACCTCCACCATGCCAGAAACTTAAGAGCTTCAGTCTTGAGTTTGCCAAACAGCCCCAGGTAGACACACTATTGGCCATGGCTGTCTGCTCTACGCTTCTGCCTGCAGGGATGCTGAGGAGCTGTCCCGGGAATCAGTTACTCTGTGTGTTGTGTCTTACTCAATAAGCATGCGTCTAAAGGTAACAGAATCACAACTGTGGAAAAGAATAACATTTCAGTGACTTATAACTTTAGATTTTCTTCTGACGTTGGCTGTGCTCTCTAAAGATTTCAATTCCACTTGGTCTGTATGCTACAGAGCACTTCCCCAACTCAAAGAAACCCTTCTAGCATGCTGCTACTACCCGGGCAGGTGGAGACTTCTGCGATTACATGCTTCCTTATAAAAATATTTATATTCATTTTTGTGTTGCTATGTATGAGTATATATATATATATATATACATACACACATACATATACATATACATACATACATACATATATGGTATGAGTGTACCTGCGTGTGCCTAGAAAGCCCTAGAAATCTTGTCTCTACCCACTACAGTGCGGAGTTACAGGTGAGCATGCAACCATACCTGGCTTTTTAAATGAGTTCTTGGGATCTGAACTCAGGTCCTCATGACTGACAGCAAGTACTCTCACCCACTGAGCATCGCCCTGGGCTTTGGCATCACCCAGGTTGTATTCTATGTGCGGTTTCCTCCCAGTGGGTCTGTCTCTCTAAACCTAGTAGAGCACCTGAGCATCTATGTAGACTCTCCCGTGAGGAACCAGGAAGCTAGGGAATTAAACATAGGGCATTCAGGACCCAGGGACACTCAACATGTTTGCCAAGGGCAGTTCTTTAATTTTTGCTTTTATTCCAAGCCATTATCTAGAGAAACGGTAGGTTAATCACTGACTTATGTCAAATGTAACATCTTTCTTTGCCTTTATTCTAACAGTAAAAACATATGTGGCAAGGAACACACTGTTTGATTTTTGCTTATGTTTTAAGAAATCAGGGTGAAACAGATGCAGGGGTGGGGAGTGAATGGACGTAAGAGTACATTTACTATGTCTGTGCTTCTTCACTCAGTGGCCTCAAAAGCATAAAGCTTCAAAATACAAACCTTACTAGTCAAAAAGCCAAGGGCACAGATGCACACTCACTACAGCTCCATCTGCCACATATCAGTTACAGACTGTTTTCTGCAGAGGCAGACCACTGTCCATGCTGAGTGCTGAGAGGCCTTGCTCCGCCATGGCCCCTCACATGCAGCGGAGCCCATGCTGACCAACTGCACGCTGACCTTCGCCGCTCAGCACTTGTTAAAGCAAAAGATTCTTTGCTTTGTTTTCAGCTCTTTAAAAGAAAATCAAAACATGCATGAGGAAAAGTGGCTTTGGGAGAACATGCAGTGTGGCCAGCAGAATGGGTTTGTGGCTCAGTGCAGATGTCACCAGCAGACTCTGAATGCTCAGGAGCTGGTCACGTCTCCTGCCCAGGCCTCTGGGGAGGGTGCAGGGGGAGGGCTGGGATGTCTATCTCACTGGCTTGGTGTGGGGGTCCATAAGATGACAAAGGACAAGGCCATGCAAGGGCAGTGTTCATTCAGGGATGGAATGAGTTTGTTTCTAGCTGTCCTCTTGGTCTGTGACCCAGAGCAGAGGAGGCCGTCTGGAAACATCGCGAGTCTGCTGTTTGTACCCTGAGCTTTGGATGTACTCACTCTTAACAAATTTCATCTCTTCCTCCTTTTAGGCTGCGCTTAGGGATTGGCTCTTGTTTCCTTAGATGACACTGTACTCTGTTATCTTGTCATACATCTACAAGTATGCGGATTACAGAAAAGGACCTCTTTCTCTCTCTGTCCATCTTTGTGACATCAGCACCCCTTGCTTTAGTTCTTCAAGTAGCTTACTGGCCAGGCAGGGCCAGCACAGGGCACAGAAGCTCTGTGAGGGAACTCATCTTAAGGGAACTCCCCCACAGGAAGCAGCCATGTGAAATTCATATAAAGTAGTGCACAGAGAGGCCTACCTTCATGATGATGCCTCTTGGCGTAGGACAGAGACTCCCCTTCGTGCTGTGTGTGGAATTTCTGAATGCATCGCCTCACCAGATCCTCCCAGCCCGGCTTCATGGCGGCTCTCATGGTGCTAGTGTCCAGGGAAGTGATCTTGCCTATGAGATAATGGCAGGCAGGACATTTATGACATCTGTTTTTCTAGACAAACAATTAACATTCAGGAGCACACGTATTTCCCCAGTCATTGCCTGCATCTGTGGGGGCGGGTGTGAGGCTTCATGGATCCTGAAGTGCACCAGCACTAAAACTTCTCATGGGAAATGGCAAAGGATGTGTGTGTGGCCTCTGTCTCCCCGTGTAGTTTTTGTTTTATTCATCTTATTTATTTTGATTTTTTAGACAGATTTTTTAGATAATCTGGAACTCTGCCTAACCTTCTGAATATGGGTTTGGTTTCAGACATGTGCTATCATGTACTGTAAGTCACTGTATATTGTAAACACTGCAAATCACCTCTAACTGATATTAAACACAGAGCAATGACGGTTCGGATCGTCTGATCTGGGGTTGCTGGACAGAGAGCCGCTCTCTGGAGCTGGCAGCACACCTCCAGGAAGAGACACAGTGAGGGCAGTGGCTCCCTCTGTGCGGAGCCTGCTGCTCCCCGGCACACCCACCTGGCAGGCTGTGCTATCACAACTTCTCAATGCGGTGGAGACAGTCACCTCACCGTTTTCAGTGACCTGGCTGTTTTGAAATGACTGCTGAGGTGTTCTCTGACAAGAATTTACCTTGGAGGTCCTGGCGGGTGGTAAAGCTCTCTGATGAGGGAAGGGCCGGCCTTTCCTTCATGGGGACTCTCCGAGCCACACAAATCAAGCAGGACTGCAAATCTTAAAGAAGACACAGTTACTTATCACACTGACATTTTTATTGTAGTGATCAAAGCGACATAAGTATCTCTGACAGCACTGCCTGCATCAGTCCGCGCTGCCACAGCCCCCAGCCTCTCACTGGCTTAATTCTGGGGCCAACTATAGTGGGGGGGCTGATGTTAGGACGAGCGGGAGCTGAGGGAGGATGCTGACATTCCACAGCACACGTGGCTAAGTGTCCACCCAGACAGCTAGGGACTGCAGACCACCTGCCGGGTGAAGAGAAAGTACGGGCTACATTTTTGTAAAAGCAAAATTAATAAATTAGTTCATAATGAAGTAAACAAAACAAAACACAAAGATGAAACTAAAATCAGATACTGCTGCAAAGTTCTTAGCTTCAGGGTCACACTTAACAAAATGTGTGGGTACTTGACGACTGCAAGATGAATTTTAACCGAGGAATGTGAACTGCATCTGGAAGCTGATTCAGAGCACAACTCTACTGTACTTAGCAGATGCACCAGAACCGCTGCCCTCCAGCTCAGGAGCTGGGCATGGCGGGCTCCTCACACAGCCAGTGTGAAGCCAGTGCCAACACTTCAGTTGTTTTAATTTTTATTTTGCTTGTTTGTAGAGCTGTTTTGCCTGCAGGTCTATGTAGAGCTTACATGCCTGGTGCCTGTGATGCTCAGAAGAGGTTGACAGATCCCTTGGAACTGGAGTTGCAGATGGTTGTGAGCTACCATATGGATGCTAGGAATTGAACCTGGGTCCTCTGGAAGAGCAGCCAGGGCTCTTCACTGCTGAGCCCTCTCTCCAGCCGACACTCTCACTGTTTTCTGCATGGGGCTCACTTCTGGAGAATAGTGACACGTCTTAATGTCTTATATACCTATATCACATGTAGAGCATACTGTATGGCTCTTTCAAGTAAAAAAAAAAGCCGGACAAAAGGCTACTTCAAAAATAAAACAGGCTCTTTACACTTTTTTATACCACTGGTCTGTAACAATTCACCTTTATACTTGAGAAGTGTTCTTTCTTTTCTTTGTTTCTTTTTTTTTTTGTGGGGGGAGAGAAGATTCCAAATAATAGCCAGTATCTTTAGATTAAAATGTAGTCATCATGGGACACATGGCTCAGTGGTTGAACACTCCCTACCATGATTAAGGCGGTGAGTTCAACCCTCAGTATTGCAGCTACAATAAAAGGAAGAGAAAAAAGAGAAAAAAAGCCCTGGCTACATTTTATAAACATACAGAAACTTTTTCTTTAAGAGTCTTGCTATGTCCCTCTGGCTTGCCTGGAACTCACTTGTAGATCAGCCTGGCCTCATGCTTACAGTGAAGCTCCGGCCTCTATCTCCCAATTACTACAGTGGTTCCATCTTAAATGCACCTGATCACATCAAAGGATTACGAGTGAGCACCACTGCCCTCTGCCTCCACATCCAGTCTCATTAACTTACAGTCAGTCTTCTACATCTCAAGCTGCCGTCACACTGTGTGGCCAAGCATCACCTTAACTTTTCTGACTCACATGTACCTATCTCCAGGGTCCTAAGAAAGACGAGTACATCATAATGCCTGATTTTACGTGGTTTGTGAAACTGAGCCCAGAGGTCTGCGTGCTAGGCAAGCAGTTTACCAGAAGGGCTACCCCTCAGCCAGAAGCCACATGTTTTTATCAGCACGGCTGTACCATCTCTGCCTTTGGAGTATCATGGATGAGTCTGCAGGCTTCCCTTTTGTTGAATGAACAGAATGAAACTGATGGTCACACCTAAGCAAAGGCTGATTTTAAAATATCATATATTTCTACAATAGCTCTTCAGAATTACTTTCTGAAAAAAATGTAAAAACACTGACATATTTTCATTAAGAAGTACTAAGTTGGTAATCAGTGGCAATGATAGCTCAGCCATAATCCTAAGCAGAACTCATGGTCTCATGTATGTCAGGTAAGCACTCCACCCCCAGCTGGCATGCAGCCCCACTCTGTACCATAGTCTGACTGGCAATTTGACTTAAAACCTTGGTACAGAGCGAAGAGAAAGAATTCGTGCACAGCCAGAGCTAACGGTGGCACTGGGGGCGGGCCTGCCTGATTTCCTGCTAAACCATCTCCATGCACTGGTAGTCAAGGCTCATTCCCTTGTGTTACTCACAGTGGTCTCTCCAATGCCATTGGGGACATTCGGCTGTTGGGGTGGTCTGGCATCAGGACCTCAGTATGGGGAGCAGCCCGATAAGATTGCGCATCTGAAAGCCCTCCATGCTCACTCCCATGTCTGTGTACCCTGCTGTTACACACAGTGAAGGCCTGGTGTCCACAGGTAATTACAGGCACTCAGTTACTCCCTGGCAAATGTGTGAAAAATGCTGTTTGTACCCATGTATGTTTTTCTGTGGCTATGGCAAATAAGGTTTACTTTAGGTAAGGTATTCAGAGTGACCCTGGACCCCCTACACAGCCCCTGTCAGCTGCAGAAGTACCATGGTCACCAGGCACAAGTGCTATTTAAATGACCACTGAACTGGAAACAATCGGGCCCCTTGGTTGTGCCACTGCTGGTTCAAGTGTGAATCGTGGCTGCTGTGCTGGGCCAGAGATGTGGCACAGACCATTTTCCCATGGAGAGCAGCTTAGAGGGAGAACACTGCTTAGCATGTACAAGTCCAACCCCAGTGTTATAGAGGAAAAGAACTGAGCTGCAAAACTAGTCAAACATGGGAAAGAATCAAGACATGGCTTCCTGCTCTTCTCTGCTATGAGCAGCAGTGTGTGAGAATAAGCCCTCGACCAGCAGAGCAAGAAGGTACACAGCCGTGCATTCTCTCTCCCAGGCCCGGTCCTACCTTCTCCTTCCTCCTTGATAGACTTTGGCTGAGAAACAGCGAAGCACTGCATAGTCTCGTATTTCTGGTGTGCTTCCTGATTATCATGGCCTTCCTCTTCTGAGTCTGGCAAAGGCTTCACCAGCATTCGACAGTTGAAGGTATGGCTGTTCCGCCTGGGAGGTTCTCCAGACCAAGATCCCCCATTCACTGCGAGGCAAAAGGAACCCGGATTACAAGGAGACAATGGGTTTAGGGCTGCTAAGGTGTGAAGAGGGCGCAGGAAAAGCCCAGGAGTTTACACTGCAGGAACATGAGCTTTTTAACATGTCTCTATCTGGAGCTTCCACCCTGGCCACTTCTCTCCAAGGTCACGCCCTGACTATTTATTACTACAATGCTGCATCCTCTATTTTTGGGCTTCCATCTTTGACTTCTTGGAAATTTAGTTCAGTAAGCAACCTTCTGGTTTTCAAGGTGCAAACACCACTCAAAACTGTGCAAAATTTTTTCAGAGGACTTGGAATGTGGGAGACAGAGACACGAGAGTAATCTCAACATATAATCAAGCCTCACCGAGTAGCCTCACCCCATGCAGTTGGTTGGATTGTCCACGTCCAATCCTTAGTACCACATGGATGTCTGTCCTGCTGCTCCCACTGCCGTTTTTCCCACCTGAGCTACAGCGTACCGTGCCAGGGTGCTCTGTGAGAGACACCCCAGCTTCTCGGGCTTCCTCTCATACAGACTGCTGTCAGAGTGCTCAAATTTTACAGTATTCTTTCTGCTGTATCTGCTCCTGACCCACCTGATTAGAGCCTCTCAGTGCTTCATGGGGACCTTCTCAGTGGGACTGAAAATTCTCATGGGCAAAGTGCTGACACTGTGTCAAGTGAAAACAACTCTACTTCCTGTTCTAGTGTCAAAATTATTGTATATATTAAGAAAGAGTTGCTGAACTAAAGGAAAGGCATCAATGTCTTCTGAAACACATTAGAAAAACCAACAAAAGAAAGGAAAGGATGACTGAAGTATGGGCTGCTAAAGAGTGTGGACGGGTCAAGAGAGAGAACTGACCTCCAGAGAAACTTGCAGCTATCGGAAAAGCCCAAGTCAAATCATCTTAACTCATTCTGGAATTCTTTTCTTTAACCTCACCCCATGGAAATGGAAACCTTACGAAAAGTCACTGGCTGGATAACATGAGGGACACTGGTTGCCACAGGGGACCTAGGCCAAAGCTTGCTCACAGCCTGGAAGGAAAGTAGCTCTGGAGAGCAGAAAGTCATGTTCCCACTAGCCGTTGCTCTAGTTATCCAGGGAGACAAGCTAGCTTTAGGCCTGTCTGAAGATGAAAAAGCTCATTGCATTAGCACTTGTGAACTCTATTTACATAACGGAGACTACACAGAACTATCAAAGAAATTCTTATTAGTCTGGACTAAGAAGTAGTGGGCACTAAAAGAAAAGGTACAACGTGAAGCACGTGGAGTAAGAAGCCTAAGTCCTCAGAGGAACGGAAAATTACTTAAGAGACTGAAAAATTGGGTACTTCAACCACAATATCCATTCTTACACATTTACCAGAGACTGAGACGGAAGAATCCCATCCAAGTGCTCACACAACTTAGATGAGTGTTGCAGTTGCGGAAAACACAGGGTTTTACGATCATGAGGCAAAGCTGGCCATAATGCTAGATAAGAAAGATCTTGTCCTATTTACTGGCTAATTTTAAGACCATCACATACAGTTTTAAGAAAAAGAAAAAGACTTTCCAGTTCAGGACTGACATTACAACACATGAAAACATGCATTCCATTTTATCTGTGAAGATGTTCTTAATGGTTTAAGTGAGAATATTAATGAACCACTAAGTGGGGACAGCAATCCTCTAAGGCAGGCCCACACCCATCACATGCAATTCTGCACAGTATCTCTGAAGCAAGCGGAAGTCAGGGAATTTGAGGAGCAGAATGACATCCAGCAGATGGACACAGATGGGCAGAGGAGGCTGTGCCTTCCAATGACATCTGCAAAGCTGCTCAAGAAACTAACATGAAAGAGCCCACTGGGTCAATCTGACCACTCTGTGCCACTGTGCCTCAGTGTGCATTTTTAGAATGCTCCATATACACGTCACTTCCTTTTTGTACACAGAACTCAGCGGCAGTCAAATCTCAAACATGCCATGGTCCACTTTTTAGATGCCAATAAGCAGAATGGATTATCAAAGTTGGTAGGCAGCGGGAGAAGGTTGTAACTTGTTTTAAAATATAAAAAATACCTCTGCCAGTAGTTGCTAGAAGTACTCTCCATAGTTTATATATAAGATCAGCATGGTCATGCATTTAGGTCCAGCACCTGCAGGCGTCCTTTCCATGACTCCTGTCTTGGATACTTACAGTTGCTGACATGTCTATGACACAACAAGCCCTCCTGACTCACTCTCATCCAGCAAGTATGTGAGAGGAGGTAGTAGGATCAGCTGACATTTACCTATGGACTTTGGCAGCAGATTCTTGACAAATTCAGTGTGGTCCCCGACATGCAGGATGCTGTACACACTTTTGTTCATCAGCTCTTCCTGGTTATACCTTAGATACTGCGTCACGTTCTCGGAGACGAACACCACATTGCCTTCCAGGCTCACTACGAAGAAGAACCCATCGAGGGCCTGGAAACAGACCAACCATGTCAGAGAGGCCACAACACAAACACATGCAGCTGCTATACAGGGAACCTGCTCTGCAGGGGACAGAGAGCTTGCTTGCCCTTCTAGTTTTCAGAAACAACTAACACACTTGCTCTTGGGAAAAAGAAACTAGTCCATTCTAGTCAATGGAAGAAAGGCTAGATAAGGGTCTCTTGTTAGAACAACAACAATAAAAAAAAAAAAAAAAAACCAAACCAAACCAAAACATGAAGTTTGTTAATCTACCCGGAGATCAGGCCTTGGTGTGCTTCTCAGAGCAGACTGGAAGGACTCGAGGGCTGAGCTCACACGTCACAGCAGCAGCCCACGCGCCATCATGCTGCTCCATACCTCTGCATGGTACGCCGTGAGAGAAAGGGGCCAGCGAGAAGTGTTTTTCTCACTTTAAAAATAAGTATCAGAGGAAATTCCCTGAAGTTTTCCAACTTTTCAAGTGGCCAGGGTTTAAGTGAAGTCACAGATGGTCTCAGAGCTTCCAAGCAACACCCGGCCTTCATTGTCTGGTGCGCAGGGAAGGATCTGAGTGAGCAGGGCCTCTGGCATGGTGCACGAACGGGATGGCAGCCTGGGCTGAGGGCGCCCAGATTAAGAAGTGCGTGCCTGTGTTATCTAAGAATTGGTAGCACACATCTTGTAACAGGCTCACTGTCTCACTCTGTGTCACTTCGGGCTAGATTACAGAAGGAGATGAGTATAAACATTATAGGAAGTGAAGATAAATGGTGGCTGTGGGGCATGTTTACTCTGTCGTGGGCACACCGTGTTCTTCCAATGTCCTCTTTTCCAAGTTACAGGAGGGGAGTTAGGGTTTACAACCATTCATTGGTCAGTAGCAGAGCTGCTGCTGAATCCAGAGAAAGCGGAAGCCTAACCCTTTCAGGCTGCACGGTGATGGCTCAGTGTCTAGCTGCTTCTTTCCTATTCTTGATACTTGCTTCTCAGCATATTTCACAGGCCTAGTAATATCCAGGACTGAAAAAGGCTGCACACGATCACAGCTGAACTCCAATCAGTCCTTATGATACATTCCTATCACATTTGTAGCATGAATGTAACTTGCCCAGTGCCACACCCAGTGGATATGGATGGCCTGAATGTGTGGTCTACCCCAGCCTGTTTATGTAAGAGGCTTCTGTTTTGTCAGTTGCTTTGGAATAGTATATTCCACCTTTAATTCAGTTTTCATCACAAAACTAGGTTCTCTCTCAATCTAAAACTGATTCCATGTATAAGTGAGAAGCTGTTTAAGAAAAGGTAAACTGGATATGGTGCCACACATCTCTAATCCTAGCACCTGGGAGGCTAAGGAAGCACAATTACTAGGAGTTCAAGGCCAGTCTGGGCTACAAGTCAAGAGCCTGTCTTGAAACAGTAACAACAACAAAAGCAACAACACCAAGCAAAGACCCAAACCAAATCAAACAACACTGCTCGGTTTTAGAGTTGTCTTAAATACTCTCTTTGGTTTTCTCTATAATATAAGCCATATACAGGGTCAAGCAAGACTATACATACACACACACACACACACACACACACACACACACACACACAGCCACTTACAGACCTTGTGTCCCTTCACCTCACTCACTGCTACTGCTGGACACTCAGCAGAGCTTTTCAGGCTTTCAATGCTGCCTTACTAGTGCTGGCTTTGGAAAAACGTATGTCTTCTTACGGCATAGTACCCTCATAAGAAGGCTGATTTGTGGCCTAATAAAACTGAAAGATGAAAGTGGCTCATCTTCTGAAACTGTGTTTTCTGAAGCTCACTGTGAGATGCTCTGATGAAAAAAAGCTGACATTTGCTTGTTGCCTAGCAACCACTATGCTATGATGCAAGCATGAGTGTGCATCTATGCCTAGGAAGAGCTCTACAAGAACACGCTTTCCCTGTTTAAATGATTACATGGAAACAGGGCTAAAGGCTTCAATTGAGGCCATAAGCACTGCATTCAGGGAGGCACTTCCTCTCTCATATTTATTTAGTACTAGGACCCTATGCAGGTATTGCTCCTCGCACTCAATTCTCAGGAGATTATTTGCAAACAGCAAAAATCCTGGTTTGGTTTTATAAGATCAGGGTCACTGACATCTAGCAATTCAATTTCTACAATTAATGAACTTGTTTTCAAAGGGCTGAACTTGTTCCCCGAAAGCCTGTGGTTATTCTAAGCATTCCTTTTTAGAAGCCTCAAAGTCTTCCTAGGTGTTCTAGTGTTATTTCCCACTCCCCCATCATGAAGAATAAACACAGTTATATGGAAAAATTCTCATCAAATTTCTGCTTACAATTCAAAAGTTTTTGTAAAAGACGCTGCCCATTTCTTTTACATAATTTTAAATAGTCACCTAGACACAAACCTCCTTTACTGCTTGTAAGAAGAACCAAGTGGGAAGTGCCCCTCTCTGGCTGTGATGACTATGGAAAATCCAATTAAGTGTTGTGCCCCTGCGCCCAAGGGCAAACCTGGGTCATTCAACATAGGTCCAGCCCTGGGGAATGATTTTTTTTATTTCTAAATGCAACGACCGGGTCAGCTGAGCTTCATTCTCCCATCTCCGGCCCCCAATTATACAGTAGATTTCCAGGGAACTAGGTTTTCTAAAAACAAAAGCTTTCTTATGAGAAAAGGGACTATAAGGTCGAGGGAGCACTAGCTAGCTTTGTTTTAAAAATCCTAGTTCTCGCTTCCACGTGGCCGCTGCTGCAGGCACGGTGCAGGCACAATGCCGCAGCTCTGGCCACGTGGTCCTCTCAGCTCAGAATGTCATCAGCACAGCAAAGTACCCAGAGAACTGACATAATTTATGTCTCAGGCATCTCTGTTTCTTTATTCAGTGATATTTCTTCTCTCATCTTACCATATCCCCCACGTCTTGAATTTTAATTTTGTGTTTAGTCCTACTTAATAAAAACAAGGAAGATTTTATAAGGCTGAGATAGTAGCTGTCTTAAGGCTGTTAATATCAGACAGTCCATTCAAAAGGTTCCTTGTTTCTATTTCAACCTTTAAATTTATGAGAAAAAAAAAATAAGCTAGTTTGAAGTAACAGCCCTGAAAAAAAACCCATAAACCTCTTTGGTTCTCACATTTTAAGCTGTCTATACAGGCAGAGGTATACGGCACACATGGGCCTTGAACCAGAGGAACAGGATCTCACAGAACTTAACATGACTTGGAAGTGCTCAACCGACAAACAAAACCTACTACTTTGTATTCTCATCTAATTTAATTCCTATGTTTAACATACATGTGTTGGAGGTAAGAGCTCAAACACAGAACTATCCGCATATGTCAGCAAGCGCAAGCGTGTAGATCCTCCTTGAATTAAGTGCAGCAGGTGAACACTGAAAACATTTGCAATGCAAAGCCAACTGAGTGTGCGGTACCTCGAGCATCATGGGCCCCAGTGCATCCTTGTCGATGACGCCCTGCCCTGTGGACGATACGTCTGCCTTCTGTACTTCGTCTATGTTGGCAGCGGCTGCTTTCTCTGCAATAACACAAGAGCAAATTAAATAGTGCTGCTATTTCAAGGCAGACTAACACCAAAATCTCCAGTGGGGTCACATGTGCCTATAAATGAATTAGAGTGCATCCCAACTGCCCCTGGAGGACAGGAATGGCTGGAGGAGGAGGCAGATGGTACCTTTCACCTCCAGAATGTATGCGTTGGATCCCCTTTCAGGCTTTTGAGAAAATGAGTTTAGAGGTTTCATGTCATCCCTAGCAGACATTTAAAAAATATAGATTATGAAACTGTAGTATCCTATGTCACAATTAGTTTCCACTCAAGAGATTCTCCAAACTGGGGTGTACGTGTTGTGTGTCGTGTTGCTGAGAGTTCAATAGCATAATTACGGACATATCTGTAGACATTTGAGGAAGAAATAACGGGAGCCTTGACCTAACCTCAACAAAAGACTCAGTGACTGAAAGTAGAGGGAAGAGTGTCCCCCCTCAGGCCTTCAGAGGGCATGGATGGCTCAGCTCTGACTTTGCACAAAGGAGCTGCGCAGCATTCCTGGGCCCAGTCTCTCAGGGCTGAGGACCTTCCATCAGCATGAGGTTACTTTGTAAAAAAGCTCACAGGAGAAGAGATGTGTAGATATCAATACATGTGTAAATGAGTTCCTTCAAGGATGGCAAAGTAAGTTTACAGCATAACATACACAGCCATAACCTGCTAGAAAACAACACAAAAGGAAATGTGCCAATTACTTGTAAACTGAATAAATTACATCCTTGTTTACACTGCATGTTTTCATTATAATTAAATGCAAAAAAAAAAAAAATTAAAATCCCAACCAACAAACTAATTCAATTTAGCATTAACAATCAACTTGCTTTTCCATGACTATAGTAACTTGTTTTTGGTAGAAACAATTTAAAAAATCTGTTAAGGCCCAATTTATGGAACCTAAAAATAGCTGGGAATTATGTAGATCCTCCCAATCTTGCTGCTCGCAAAGGGAAGTGTTCATGCCGTGTATCTGCAGTATAGAGATGACTATGTAGCTCAAGTTCAAGAGTACTTTGTAGGAGTAGAGCTTGGAGAAAGGCACCAAAGACCTCAGTTTCAGTGTCTGCCACTGTGCATGATGGCTTGGGCCAATGAGAAGTAAAAAAACATGTAAAATACACATTGGAAGGGTGAGATGGCTCAGTGGATAGAGAGCCTGCTGTCATGCCTGGCGATGAGAGTTTAGCATCTGGGACTCCCATGGGAGGAAAGAAACTCCTGATATTTTGTCTTCTGATCTCCATTCTTTCTCATGCACTCACATAAAATAAAGAAGCAAAACAAAAACATTCAGGGTTGCTTACAAAGATGACTGCTAACACATAGAGTGTTTGTATTTCACTCTTACTGGTCTCACAGGCAACATTTTCTTGAGAGCTAACCAACGGCACACCATGCCTGCTTCTCTGAACCACACCATCTTACCTGTGGCATCTTTTGCTCCCTTCTGTACTAAGTCCCAAGAAGCTGTCTCTCCACAGGCTTTGTCTCAACCTAGCAATCCTCAGAGTGCAAGAAGCATCATAGGACAGGAAACTAGCTCGGTCACTTACGGACTCCCTTCTCCCTGCTATGTAAATCTTAAACAAATGCATAGAGGCATACTTTGATTTGCAGCCAGTATCCTCACTCTTGTACCCGTAAGTACAGGATCAGGCCCTGTGCTATCACACCCTCTGCTGAACTTCTCAGGCTGAGGCGCTGAGCACTCCCATGCTGTGCTATGTGCAGCCCCCTGCCCCCCTGCCCCCACAGTGGGCAGACTCCTATACCTGTCACTGCTTTACGGAGGCCCTTGCGTGCTTGGTATTAAGCCTCTGTGCCCCAAAATTCCTGCATCGTGATCGTGGATTTTCAAGGCCCTCTATGCTGCGCATCCTTACTTGGTTTTCAGTGTAGAGGAGCAGGGTGCTGATGACCCTTGCTCAGGATGAGTACACTGTGGCCTTTTCCTCACTGAGGGCTGTGAGGAACCAGAAGCATTCCTCAGCAGCAGGATTCTCCAGCTGAAGGGTACAGAGGAGATACCCTCCATGAAGGCCCCAGACCATAGGGACATGGGTACAGGCTGGAAAGCCTGCCCTACAGGAGAGTGTGATATACGTCTAGAGCAGGGGCTCTCGCCCTTCCTAATGTGCAAGCCTTTAATACATCTCATATTGTGGTGACCCCAACAATAAAATTATTCTAGTTGCTACTTCATAACCATAATATTGCTAGTTAGGAATCATAATGTAAATATCTGTATTTACTGATGGTCTTAGGTGACCCCTGTGAAAGGGTCATTCACACCCCCTCCCCCAAAGGGGTCATGACACTCACAGGTTGAGAACAGCTGGATATCTGCATGCTCCTTGCCTCCTTCAGTCCATAAAACAAAACACTGCAACAGGATGCTGGCCCTCTGGAAGGCTGCCCCATTTGAAGACACATTAATCAGAAAGAGAGCCACACCTGTATTCTCACTGTAGGTCAGGAATGTCACTAATTACTGATGTCTGGCTGATAAACAGGACTCTCCCTGGTCCTAACTCCCAGAACAGTAAGAATAAGGGAACTGAAGGTTGATGGGAATGAGAAATTATTCTTTCCCTTTGTTTCCCTACCCCTTCAGGATGTAGGCAGAAGACTGGGAAGAGAAGAGATGGGCAGGGTTTAAACAAAAACAAAAACAAAACATGGTTCAGCGTTCCTAGAGAATCAGCTCTGAAGAGAATCATTTGTCTGGACATAGTAAATTTCAATGCATGTCAACTTCTCTCTCAGTTCATTCTTCCACTATTAAATCTCTTTAACTTGCAGGGTGTAGTGGTACACACCTTTAATCCCAGCGCTTGACTGGCAGAGGCAGGTGGATCTCTGTGAGTTCGAGGGAAACCTGGTCTACAAAACCAGGGTGATTACACAGAGAAACCCTGTCTTGAAAAACAAACAAACCAACAAACAAATCTCTTCATCTCTTTCCCTTAAACAATAGACTTTGGTTTAGCATGCAGCTCAGTGGTAACTATGAGGCTCAGGTCAGAGAAGGAAGTGTAGAGACACTTGATTGAAGTTAATGTTGGGGCAGAGTGAAAGATGAAGCTGCTCATTGAATGGAAGCTCTGTACCTGTCACTGGCATTTCCAAGAGGGCAGCCAGTGTGCTCAACTCTGGATCCTTCTCTCCAGCCCCTACAAAGTTTCAATCTTAAAACAAAAAACAACCAACATTTAGCTGGGCAAGGTGACTCATGCCTATAATTCCAGCACTTGGGGGAGGCAGAGATAGGTGGATCTGTGTGAGTTTGAGGCCAGCCTGGTCTACAAAATGAGTCCAGGACTACACAAGAGAAACCCTGTCTTGAAAAACCAAACAAAAGCAAACCAAAGCCAAAACAAAACAAAACAAAAAACCAAAACAAACAAACAAACAAAAAACCCCCCCAAAAAACAAATAACATTTTCTCCCTAAATCCAATAATACTACTTGAACTTAGGAGTACGAAAACTAGTGTCAAAGAAAATAACCCTCAGATATACGTTACCCTGTGTGTGAGGTACTTTTTGAGGGTCCATCCACACAGCAGAGAAGGCAGTGGTGATGATGGCAGAGCCTGAGGCAGCTGGCCACAGTCAGGGAGCAAGCAGATAGGTGAGGGCTGGGGCTCAGCTTTTCCTCCCCTCCCCCCCACTTTCTAACTGCCTGCTAGAAAACCTAAGGCTGTTGTCCTATGAGATAACACAGAGGAGTGAATTATTCCTTTCTGTGGGGGATGCACTGCTGTTGCTTTAAGAGTAAATAGATATGGCTTACTGATGTTTGGAACAGTTGTCAATGTGATCTCTCCACTTTATGAGATGTATATCTAAAGGACACAATATATTTCTGAGGAAGTAAATTCATCTATTAATAGTTTTGTGTAATTTACACCACTTTCTTGATGATCACTTAATCAGGCTGGTACATCCAACACTTAGAAGCCTCATGCCTGGGTGTTGTAAATGTTGCGGCAACCTGCTCAGACAGAGCATTTTACACCTTTAGGAAAAGACACAGATATGATGAAGCAAAAGCAAATCGGCACCGAAGTTTGTTTTTTGGGACTTATCAATCAGACATCATGTGGAACAAGGGCCAGGAGATGACTCAGCTCTGATAACATCTGTGTGTGGGAGACTTCTGGAAAGCTTGGATAAAAGTAAGTATTACCCTGAAAAACTGTTTATAATAACAAAATATGCTGTGTTTTCTCTTTATAATTTTCACCTGGTAAACCCTTAAAAGGAACAAGGCAGCAGGTGATTCTAGTTTCAGAGTCTACCTGAGGAAGTGGAGAGGAGCCTATGAGCATCAACCTTCTTTATTAAGAAGCTCTATTTATTAAGAGCTCACACTGCCACCAGGAGGTCAAAACAGGTGTCATTCAACAGAACATGGAAAATGGAGGGCTGACCTACAAGCAACCACTTTTAGTTCAGGGAAGGAGAAATGGGTGGGCACGGGTGAATGTGTGTCATGTATGGTGAGATTGGGTATATGGATGGGTGTCATCAGGCCACCAGAAGTCTCAGGCAGGCCTTAAAAACCAATATTCTTAAGTGTCATCAAATGACCTAAACTAGAGCGCTAGTAAGTGATAACAAAAAATCACCAAGATGAGAATGAAGTTCTATTAATGGAACACGTGGCTTGAAAGAAAACACAGAAGGCGTACAGAGAAGTGGCAAGGCTAGCTGTGCTGAGAGCACAAGAACTTTTTGTTGCTCACTGTCAGACAGATAAAAGCTAGACGGGAAGAAGCCAGCTTTTCAGTCCTATAGCACTGAGTGTTTGAAACATGCATTTTTCGAGACAATTTTTTTGTGTGTTCTTCAGTTCTGCATTGAATTTATGCCTGGGTCACTTCTCAGGAGTAAAATGAAACAGGGGAAATACAAAGTGAATAAAGTGTAATTAATAAAGAAAAAATAAATCATAAAAAAAGAGTA